CTGGTCTCACTGTAACCTTCATCGATTTGCCGATGTGTGTTATTGTTATGAATCTTTCTTTCAAACTTCACCCGGAGTTTCTCCTGCCAGACCGCTTGTATTTTTTCCACTGCAAGTCAGAGTGAGCTGATGTGAGAACGCAGCAGGATATTCTCCGGAGAATTCACCTCAAGCCAATGGGAAGGGGGTGGAGACGTTTACATCCAGTGACCAGTACATATACTTAGGTCATTAAACGGCGGCATTGTTTTTTCTCTGTGTCGTTGTTCTCCGCTCTTTTGTTGATGTTGTTATTCTGTTCAACTACACATAGCATTGATATACAAGGCAAATATTCTCATTATAGCGTCCTTACAGACTCTGTGCTTAGTCCACTACTTCTGCATCGGTTTTTTTTTTTCAAACGTCATGTCTCAAATTATCTAGGTATTTTCAGGAGTGCATATTTAAAAAACAACTAGAGAGGTGGAACAGCTGTTTGTGGTTTAAAATACTATCTTCCTCTTCCACATCTACTGTATGTCTCTCTTGTGTACGGATCTTTCTGTAATGTTGTCAAACGCTGAGAATAACAAATCTCAACCCCGTTAGAGACAAAAACAAGATTCTCAGTGAACAGACTTTGATTGATTGAGGATTATGTTTCAGCACTTAAGAATGAAGAAACCTACAGGAGACATTAAAACCTGTTTGTACCTGTTAGTCATTTAGACCCAAAATAAGTAATAAATATATAAAACACATTAACACCTGCTCTCCTCATAATAACCTCAAATCATGTCTTTTAGTTTGGTTTCTATCTGTGGTCCTCTTGGTCTCAGCTCGGGCTTGTTGGCTTCTTGTGTTGCCTGTGTTCTTATGATCTCATGATGGCTCTTATGGGGGGGGGGTCTGTTTTGTGCTGGTTGGGGTTAAATATGTTGTTGGGCATTTTGTTGTTGCATGGCTTGTCTTGCTCTTTTTTGTTTTTGTTGTCTGTGTTTGGGTTCTTTTGTTCTTTTTCTGTATTTGCTGTGCGTCAAAGCACTTTGTAAACCTGTGTTTTTAACGGTTCTGTATAAATAAAGTTATTATTATAAATCAATCTATTGCATACAGAGACGCTCAGAAACATTCTTACCGTCTTCAAGGAACTGGATGTCAGACGTGTCCAGGTTGTGATCTGTCTCAAACAGTTTGTTTACCTGGTGAAGCAAACGTCACATTTTCTTCAGTCTGTCATTTATATGATCAACTTCCTTCAAAGTTCACAGAGAGCGCCGAGTTTTACCGGTGAGTTTGAGTTTGCCCCCCCTGCTCCTCCTCTTTCTGCCGTTTTTCCTCAGCTCCGTCCACCTCGCTCAAACCTCGCTTTCCATGCAGGAAGTTCTCAATGGTGACCACAGTGCCCTGGAACAATACCTGACACACACACACACACACACACACACACACACACACACACACACACACCAAATGTCTGACAGCAGCAGGTCCTAAACGAGAGCTAAGATATACGACTGTAATCATTTAGAATTATGTGAACGTGTTTCCTTTTCCTACCTTCTCCGCCTCCTCTAACTCTCTCTCTCTCCGTTCTTTCTCTTCCTCTCGTCTGTTTTTCATCACGTCCACGATTTCGTTGAGTTTCTCCTGAACGGCTGTGACCAACGTGAAGATCATCACCATGCCCAGGTTCTCCTCCGCCTGCAGAGAACGCACATATTCTTTTTTCAGATGAAGGAAACACGCTTTCCAGCAGCTGGAGAGGTTTGTCTGAGGTGTTTGAATGATCAGAAAATGATTCCTGACTGGTAAAATGACACATCGCTTACATTTGGAAAAGAAACTGAGAAATTGAAGGAGGCAAAACCTGTGAAGATGATAAACCTGACTTCATGTAATGCAGAAACATGGTGAATAAATGGATCCATTTCCACTGAAGGAACTTTCCCAACTTGGGACCTTTAGAGGAACTATGTGCATTTTGACTGCAGGAACCAGGGTCTAAAAAAAAGGACCCTGCTTGGGGGTAGTACTTTCTAAAAGTTCTGGGACTTTGGTGCCTGTGTCATCTTTGTCGCATTGCCCTTCGACTTCTCCTTACCGCCACCTACTGGACTGGTGGTGTAGTGCAGTTACTTTCATTGCTTCTCCATATGTCATTGGCCTCATTTGCATAATCTTCCCGGGACTTCAGACTGCGGTGGAAATGCTAAAACGACACCCCCAGATCTTTTGAAAAGGGGCTGATATTTAAGTTTGGATGATTTGGATTTAAAATTATTATTCATTTATTGCATATCAGTTTCATGCTCATGCAATTTGTAGTAAAGTAACAGTTTCTAGATTTTACAATTTTTTGAAAAAGTGACCAATTGGAGATTTGTTCTGAGCAATTCATCACATCTTCTTCAAAGAGTCCATGTTGATAAAATGTGTTCGTGAACAAACTGAGATCGTCAGAGGAGCATGTGAGTGCAGGGAAATAAAACACAAAACATTAACCTGGAGGCGAAGGACAGATGGTGTGTTGTCTCTAACTCAGGAACACAGTTGTGTTAACGCATGGATAAGATATTTTCTGTGTTTGCTGTGATGCAGCTGAGGGAATACTGAGCTAACCGAGGTAAGACAAGATTGTGTTTATGTTTTTAAGTTGTATAAAAATGACCCGGAGTTGAGCAGCTGTGGTCTGACTCTGTTTCACCGTCTAAGATCTGATGTTACTGTAATGTATGTTTTAAATAAAAAGATTTGATTGGCTGTATGATAGTCACCTGGCCTGTTAATGCACAGATGGAACGCATCATAGTATACTCAAATTATATTACAGATACAGATTTTGGTTTCTCAAAGGAGATCTTAGAACATTATTTACACAACACATAAGCTGCAGCTAAGCAAAGAAAATGCTAGGAGATGTTGTTGGACATTTTGTCTCAGGTTTGCTCTTTGGGGAGATAAAATACAAAATAATTTCATTCCATCACACTGAACAAACAGACCGAAGCCTCACACAGACAGACAGAAAGAGGATTTAAAACAACATCAGTGATGGAGATCACAGTGAGTTCAGACAGACCTGTTGTTGGAGTAAAGTGAGGATCTCCCCCACATCGACGTCCTCCAGGTTCTCCTGGGACTGAATCTCCCACAGAGGAGCCTCGTCTGGATATTTCTCTACATATGTGAACTTTAACAACGTTTCCACAACTGCAAGAAAATAAAAACAGACAATCGTTACAAGTTAGTTGGCAGGTTTTTTAAAATTTTTATTACTTATATTTTATTTGCTTTTCTTAATGAGGATACATCAAAATAAACACAGTATATAAACGTTGGTGTCAGTTAACAATAGTCAGTTTAACCTCCTTTTAAATATTCTCTTCAGACTTTGTGGTGGGTTTTAAAGTCAGTCCACTTTCTCCATTTTCCTTGGCATGCAGACTGTTGTCGTCTTAAATTGTGTGTAAAGTTCTCCATATCATGTCGTTTTTCAACAATGTCCAACCAGTTTCTCTGAGTGGGAGGATCCTCCTTACACCACTTTCTTGTTATAGCTTTCTTTGATGCCACCTGTAGTATTCCAGCCAGGTATCTGTCTTTGTTTTGTATATTTTCCTGTGTTAGATTTCCCAGATATAGCACTTCACAAGTCTTACGAAGTTCAGAACCTAAAATTGCTTTCATTCCGTTCCACACTTCATCCCAGGACTCAGTCATTTTCACACATTGTGTTCCCCACACTGTCTCCAGCGAGGCCGTGGGACAAGTGACAATCTTCCTTTAGTTTTGGTGTGATGAAAAATCTCACACTATTTCTCCAACCGTATTCCCTCCACATTCTAGAGCTTGTCGTTCTACTCTGTGTCCTACACGTGTTATAACACTCTTCCTTTGTTACTTCTCTCTTTAGTTCCTTTTCCCATTGATCTCTAATGTACAGAGTTGAAGTTGTTCTATTTCTCACCATATCTTGATACAATAGTTGGCGTTTTTAATCTCACAGTTTAAAGACGCACTGAATGATTTACTGAAACATCAGCGTACTCACTTTCTCCATCTTCTCCTGCATCTGACGTCACAGTGATGGTGAAGCTGGTGGGGTTATCTGAAAGAACTACAAACAGACACACACGGGTCAGTGACAGAGTTTCAAGGACAGATACAAGAAATCTTTCTTACCGAAGGCCATAACTCTGTACAGCAGCTCACCTCATGCGAGCAGAGAACTGTCATCATGATAACATCTGTCTCTCCTTTACTGTCATCTGTTCTGCTCATGTTTACAAATGATCCCTGCACTTATGTTCACTTCATTTGTCTGTTTACTCGCCGTTATACTGAATAGTTTCTGCTTATAACATGTCTACACTCATGCACTTTAACTTATGTCAATACTGTCCATTTACAACTCTGTTTTTGCACATTTACATTTAATCTTCCTATTAAAGACGAGTAATGTTAAGTTAAATCATGGTTGTATATATTCACATTCTTAGCTATGATATTTTTAGTGCTTATTTACTTTGTATTTAATATTATATTGTGTTTAGATTTGCTAATATTGTGTTTTTTGCTCATATTTGGACAACCTGCTGCTGTAACAACACAATTTCCCAGTTTGGGATCAATAAAGTAATTCTATTCTATTCTATTCTAAATTCTATTCTATTCTATTCTATATTCTATTCTATGTTGCTGTCTGAGTCACATAATTGCACCATGTGCCAGTAAACAACAAGCTTGCTGCCCTTCTTACATCTTAAAGATAGATATTCTTTTAAAGAAGCAAAGATTGTCATTAAACACACGACAACAATAAGACATCTTCATTGATCTCTTAATTGCAGCTTCACTGTGGTGAACTATGCAGTCAATGCTAATAATGCAACTTAATAATAGTCTAATATACATGCCGAATTTAAGTAAACCTTCATAATACCTAAAACTGGACTTTTATATTATGTTTATCACAAAATAAACGTGTTTTAATCGATATTTGATGATTGGCACTTTTTCTGAATGGAGTTTGGTGTAATCTTCTGAACATAACACTGAGTTAAAGGCCCACTGTGACAGCTGCTTGTTTGACATTTAACTCTGGTTACTTTTAAACATTACCTCCATCTAACAGCACTAAATGTCAAACAGAATAGTGAATAAAATCCGTCTGTTTTTACTTTTCCTCCTCGGATGTAAATACCAAAACCAGCTACTTAACATGCTCTTCTGCAGCTAGCATGTTAGCTCCGTGACTGTAACTTTCCTGTCTTCATTAATGTAATTCAGACCTGTGAAGGAGTCTGGGTAGATGGACTCTATCGCTTCTAGTTCGTTCCTCTGCTCTTCGGCGTAGTCCGTCATGTTTTGTGTCCTGAAGGTTATCTACAAGTTGTAAAAATCATCACCGCTACTTTGAAGCTAACACACCGGGCGTGCTGCGTGCTGCGCTGGCCCTGTGGCGATCGATCATATCGGCGTTCTCACAGTTTGGTCTGACGCCGTAGTATCACTGCGGTGTGGTAAGAAGAAGAACGTTAATTAATGGGATACTTACAGTGTTAGAACTAGAACATTCTACGTTTGATAAATATGACTTGGTGTTTCTGTTTTAAGCGATGTTGATGTTGTTAATATTGCAGATCTATGGTTTCATGCAGCAACTTCAGACTTCTGATATCCATTGATTGAGTCTGCTTTGTGGTGAAGAGACTTCAGAGCACTTGTTTGTTTTCTGTCCTGTGTCTCAAAGGTTTTGGATCAACATTAGAAGTTGGTTGTCGCTAAAAATTAATGATATTCCATCTTTTGATATTTATAGTATTCTCTGTTTTATGGATAATTTAAACCCTTCAATTACTGACATGGTAAATGTTATTTTACTCATGAGTAAATATCATATTCTGTGTAGTGAGTGAACAACAAACCCTCCTTAGACTGGTTTATAAATGATTTCAAATATTTTTTCTTACCTCTGAAAAAAATGAAATCTTGCAGGATTGCTAGAAAGATTGAGTGCTGACTTATCGAAATTCTTGTTTTGATTTCTGGCCCTTGTTGAATTTTGTTTTGTCCTTGCTCCAGTTTGTTGTCTGCTTACATTTGCCTGATGTTTTCTTTTGGAAAAGTTTGATTTTTATTTATTTATTTTTATGTATAATCCCCCCTAGTCTTGATTTATGTTTGAATTAACTTGTTCCTGTGTATTGTGCTGTTGTATGTTCATCCTCTTTAAGAGTTTGTATCATAGACTGGTTTGTATAAACATTTTTTGTACATGTTAAATTTGTCAATAAAGACGGTTAAAAAAAAGAAGAAAAAAAAGAGTCTGCTTTGAGAATCAGCGCCATCAAGAGGCAAAAGGAAGAACTGGCTCGAATATATTTCTTTCTTTTACTGACTGAGTTCAAGTTTTTTAAGACACAAGCTGTCATTGAAGCAATTTTAAAGTATCACTATTTCTGTATTTCTTTAAGTCTAATGATTATGTTTTAATGAAAGCCTATCGAGGGACAGGGGTTGCAAATGAACCACGGCTAAAACCTGTGTGCACGGCATCTACTTTGTATTTTATGAAGCAATGTTCATCTCACATGTCCCAGTTAAATAACTGAATAAGATAACAAATAAATAGAATAGAATAGAATAGATGTTTATTGCCATTTGCACAGGTACAGGACAGTACAGGTACATTGGAATTCTTGTGCGTTTCTCCCTGAGTCAGCTTCTACAAAAAAAGTTAAAATTATATATAACATAGAATAGCATTATAAGAACAAAAGAGTAGAAAAGTTCACAAAAAAAAGTTGTAGTAACAGCTAAGTGATTTAAAATAAACTGTACAGAAGCTATACACTGTATTAAAGCAAAGATATAATACAAAACAAATAACAAAATGTACAATGAAATGAAAATATAAATATGTTTTTTATTGCACTTATTATCTCTTATTGCACCTGAGGTTATCACACACATATTTTTCACATTATATAATTCGTTTTTTGTTTTTAAGGTTAATATTGCACACTTGTATTGCACTGTGAGGTGGTCAACTTTCCATTTAGTGTGTGAGGTGTGGGGTGAAGTACTTCCTTCCCATCTTAATGTCCTGTGCTACAAAATGTACACAACAAGACAGTGAAAAACATAACAGATGGAATGGTGGAATAATGACATTAAAAAAAACCCAGATCATACACTGGGACGTGTTAATTGAAAATAATATACATTAAACCAATAGATTGTGATAGATAATGTACAAGGATTTAAAGACATTTTGCAAGCGGGCGGTCCCCAACAGAGGCTAATGTTATAAAGTTTGGGAACCCCTGATCTAGAGTATTGGCATCAAATCTGTTTGCATATGCATGTGTATGACAGTTTGGTCACAAGCTTCACCCTCTACAATCAGAAACCTCTCATCACTTTACAACCCTGAAAATAATGGACAATAAACCTGTCCGGTGACATCACAATCACATACTGAAAAAACACAATCTACTCAGTTTTGAGAGCTTCATGCACTTATGTGTCATCAAACTTGTTTTTAAATGTATCAACAATCTGGCCCCTGAACCTCTCTCCAGATATGTTCAAAGACAGGACGGAAACAGGGTAACGAGAAGCACTGTGAATGGAAACCGTAGCATACAACATCGTAGATCTACGTTTGGTCAATCAGCCTTCTCCATCAAAGGCTGTAAACTCTGGAACACATTACCACCTGAAATCAAATTAATCTCAGACTTAAAATCTTTTACAAAACAGGTGAAATGCTGAGAGCAAGCCAGAACTGTACCCATTTTTAATTAGTATCTTCAAACTTAGCATAGCATTTGTATTGTTGTACATGTATTTTAATGTATCCTCATATGGTGTTATGAGGTTTTATGTAACTGAATGTTGTACATTTTAATCTGTTTGTTTACAAAAAGGAACAACTGGGAAATTAGCAATAGCTATAAACTCTTTATGCAGCACATCAGTTTCATGCTTTGTATTGAAATTATGTTAAATTGCATTGTCCCTATTAAATAAATACATTCAAATCAAATAATAGTCTAAGAGGTGCCAAGTATAACAAAATAATATTTTTAATAATCCTTGAACCATGTATCTGATTTCTTTTTTCTAATATGAGAGTATTTCATTTTTAATTTTTTTTTTTTAAGATTTGTTTATTAGGAAAACATAAACTTTACAAGCAAATCTGCTGTCAAGAACATTTTGTGGTGTGTTTCAAACAGACACAAAAACATATAAATAATAAATAACAATAATAAATAAGATAATAATACATGAACAACCAGAGAAAATCTACATGTGTATACTTAAATAGATTTAGCAAGTGTACTTCTGATATACTAATATGAGTGTATTTCTAAATTAACATTTTGCAGCTAAAGCTCACAGACCCGCCAACAGCTGCCGGAAGTGACGTCACGTGTTGTTGACGCGAACGGTTTTCTGGGAAAGTTTCAACAGGCCGCCATTTTGCTCTGAGAAACAGAGGGAAAGCAGCAGAGGTTGTAGCTCGTAAAAGGCTCAACGCACCACCAGGTACGTTAGATCCCCACTGGGTACGCTTCAGTAAATTAAAAGAGTTTTAAACGGACAGGTGTTACCGTCATTACGACCGATTACACCCGTTAGATGTGACACAACGCCGCGTTAGCTCCCGAGCTAACGCTAGCCGCGGAAGCTAACTCGTTAAGAGCAGAATGTGCACAGATAGATTCAGTTTTCCTCCACTAAGAGGTGTTTTTTAAAGCTGTGTGGGGGTTTCTGTGTGTCCAGTCTTCATTTGAACAGGTTGAGTCTTTGTAATGATCTGTTAGCTGTGTATCTGTTACAGACAACAGTTAGCTGTGGGCTCAGTTTGTCCTGACCTCCTCCCTGCACAGCAAACAGCTGATTTATAACACATTAAGAAACACCTTTTAACACTAAGAAACACCTTTATAACACCTTTATAACACATTAAGAAACACCTTTTAACACTAAGAAACACCTTTATAACACCTTTATAACACATTAAGAAACACCTTTATAACACCTTTATAACACATTAAGAAACACCTTTATAACACATTAAGAAACACCGTTTAACACATTAAGAAACACCTTTATAACACCTTAAGAAACACCTTTATAACACCTTTATAACACATTAAGAAACACCTTTATAACACATTAAGAAACACCTTTTAACACATTAAGAAACACCTTTTAACACATTAAGAAACACCTTTATAACACCTTTATAACACATTAAGAAACACCTTTATAACACATTAAGAAACACCTTTATAACACCTTTATAACACATTAAGAAACACCTTTATAACACCTTTATAACACATTAAGAAACACCTTTATAACACATTAAGAAACACCTTTTAACACATTAAGAAACACCTTTATAACACATTAAGAAACACCTTTATAACACATTAAGAAACACCTTTTAACACATTAAGAAACACCTTTATAACACCTTTATAACACATTAAGAAACACCTTTATAACACATTAAGAAACACCTTTATAACACCTTTATAACACATTAAGAAACACCTTTATAACACATTAAACACCTTTATAACACATTAAGAAACACATTTATAACACCTTTATAACACATTAAGAAACACCTTTATAACACATTAAACACCTTTATAACACATTAAGAAACACCTTTATAACACATTAAGAAACACCTTTATAACACATTAAACACCTTTATAACACATTAAGAAACACATTTATAACACCTTTATAACACATTAAGAAACACCTTTTAACACATTAAGAAACACCTTTATAACACCTTTATAACACATTAAGAAACACCTTTATAACACCTTTATAACACCTTTATAACACATTAAGAAACACCTATAAACACCTCTATAACACCTTTATAACACATTAAGAAACACCTTTATAACACATTAAGAAACACCTTTATAACACCTTTATAACACATTAAGAAACACCTATAAACACCTCTATAACACCTTTATAACACATTAAGAAACACCTTTATAACACATTAAGAAACACCTTATAACACATTAAGAAACACCTATAAACACCTTTAAAACACATTCAGAAACACCTTTATAACACATTCAGAAACACCTTTATAACACATTAAGGAACACCTTTATAACACATTAAGAAACACCTTTATAACACATTAAGAAACACTTATAAACACCTTTATAACACATTAAGGAACACCTTTATAACACATTAAGAAACACCTTTATAACACATTAAGAAACACCTATAAACACCTTTATAACACATAAAGAAACACCTTTATAACACATTAAGAAACACCTTTATAACACAACATAAAAAAAGCACAACATTGAGGGCAGTTCTTCAGAGCTGTAATCAGTATAGAAACCATCTTATAAGTTGTCGTTATCAAACAAAAACCATCGTCACAACCATCATCATCATCAATAATATGGAGACCA